CAGCTCCATGAGTACGTAAGTAAGTGAAGGCGGGTTAGAATACGCCCACCGTAGCCCTGCGAATCATATAAGATAACGAAAAGGGAGCCCCTTCCCTGGGGTTATAACTTGGCTACCTTATTACTTGAGGACATAAATACAGAGACCTGGTCCTCCAGGTTGGGTGTTGGACGCAAGGCTGACGACCTTGCTCTGTAAGAAGATTATTGTTGCGAAATCTAAAGAAGTGAAAACCGGATCAAACCTGGTACAATTTTCTAAGGAATGCTGTTGTGCCAATGAAGATGATTAAAGTTTACACGGGATTTTCCCTCACTGAAATTAGACTGAATCGAAGATACCGTCATAAGATTAATAACCTGCATATAGACTTTTTTTTTGCTCAAGGCCTTGACTTTCTTTGTATAAATTTACCGTTTTTTTTTTCAAATAATGAAATTTATGCGTGTGACTAAATATAACACATCGAGTTCTAATCGCTGTTCCTTCTGACTGAGCAGGTAACCAGCGGAATAATAAAGCAGTACGAGACATTTTCAGTCTATAAACAAGAAGAGTTGTGACTTCTTACAATGTTGTATTGTCCGATGTTATATTGCAGAAGCTAGCACTCTTTGTATACGTCCATGTGAGAACCTCAAATTCACAGTATAAACAAGAAAATCTCTAATTGCAACACTGCTGTTTTGCAGTTTTCTTCAACCGCCCATTACTTCATCTCTCTTCGGTCCAAATATTGTCCTCAGCACTCTGTTCTCAAACACCCTCAGTCTGTGTTCCTCCCTTAACGTCAGAGAACACGTTTCACACCCATACAGAACAACAGGCAAATTTTCAATTTTGTGTATTCTAATTTTTATGTTTTTAGACAGCAGATGAGAAGACAAAAGTTGTGGACTGAATGGTAGCAAGCATTACCCGAATCCAATCTCCTCTGAATTTCCTCCTGAATCAAAATTTGATTTGTTACTTTCGTTCCCAAATTTTTTAACTATGCCACATTTTCAAAGGTTATGTTAGCTGTCTTTATGCTATGATTTTGCCCTGCATTGTGGTGACGAGACAGCAACATATACTTAGTTTTCTCTGTGTTTACTTGTAGACCAACCTCCTTACTATCATTAATTAAGTGTGCGTTTTTCTTTGTGGTACCTACACTGTGTGTCCAGGATCCGTTAGGACTAATTTTTTTTTTAATTTTGCCCTGCAATGCCATCTGTTGGCGAATTGTGACGTTAAGATTCTTGAAGTTTCAGCTGTGGCTGTCTATAATTTCAAAGCGCAAGCATCGCGGCATCATGTGTTCTGACCTTGAATGTAACAGTACTGTTCTGACGCTCGTCGGAAAATGGTGGTTGAACAAAGAGCCGACATCAAATTTTGTTTGAAGTTAGGCAAAACAGCCGGAGAAGTGCACGAATTGATGAAATTGTGTACGGTAGTGATTTTTTTAGTCGTTCGAACATTTTTCGATGGTATGCTGTATTTCGTGACGGCAGGGAAAACGCTGAAGACGCTCCACATGCATCAAAGCAGAGAACAAGCTGCACTGAAGAAAATGTGAAAAAAGTGACCGAAATCCTTGCATCAGGCAGATGTGTTTCTGCAAGACTCGTCAAGGAGCTTTTGGGAATACAAAAAAAGTACTGTGCATCAAATTTTGACCGAGGATTTGGGCAAACGGAAGGTCTGTGCGCGGTTTGTACCGCACGCGCTGTCAGGCGATGAAAAACAACCAGAGTGGAACACTGCAAAAACATGTTACGGTCGGCCCAAAGTGATACAAAATCTACAAAATCGATTGTTACTGGTGACGAGACATGGTGTTTTCAATATGGGCCTCTCACAAAGCGGCAGAGTGCAGCATGGTTGAGCCCAAAGAAGCCGAAACCAAAGAAAGTGCGCATGCAAAGGAGTGGAGTAAAGACACAAGGAATTTCTGCCAAGTCAAACAGTGAATTCTGATTATGATCTCAGAGTTCTCAATCGTTTGTGGGTAAGAATTCTTCGAATTCGACCTGAATATCGAGAGCAAGGTTCCTGGTCGCTCCTCCACGACAATGCCCCACCCCACAAATCGAAGATCATGGGGCGATTTTTTGGCCAGAAAAGCGATCACAGTCCTTGATCATCCTCCGTATTCGCCAGATTTGGCTCAAGCAGATTTCTGGTTGTTCCCAAAAGTTAAGTTGGCGATGAAAGGAGACCGTCACGACACCGTCCAGGACATCCAAAGGCAATGTACCACAGTTTTAAATGCGATTCCACAAAAGGGGTACAGTGACTGTTTTCGAAAACTTTTCAATCGATTCCAGCTATATATAGATTCAAAATGAGATTATTTTGAATAAAAAGTGTGAAATTTTGAAAATAATTCACGTCTTGTATTTTTAACGAACACAGTCCTAACAGTACCTGGACACACTGCGTATGTTATCACCCAGTAGATTCACATCTGAGCGTAGACTGGCAACTGATGTGTTCCATTTAATTCCAATCCCGCCTGGTTTTCCTGGACCTTCCTAATGGCATATTCTAGAGTAAAGGTAAAAAGCAGCGGTGATAAAGCATCTCCTTATTTTAGACCATACTGGATAGCAAAATTATCAGACAGATGTTTACGTATAAGGACTTTGTTCTATGCTTCGTTTAAACACAGCGTAATAGCCGAATTACTTCCATAGTAGCCCAGACTCCATGAGAATACTGTACAATACTTCCTTCCTAACTGAATCATAGGCTTTCTGAAGTCTACGAACAGCTGATGTGCTGTCTCATTGTACTTCCATTTTTTTCTCGAGTATCTGACGAATGCAAAAAAATCGAATCAATAGCTGATCTGTTACGTTGAAACCCACACTGATGATCCCTAATAATTTTATCTATACCCGTAAGTAAAGTAAAGTAAAAGTAAAGCTATCCATGTAACAGGCCCTGAAGGCCCATAGGGTTGTGAGACGTTGAGGGTCCCACATTATCTAGACAATCGACTCAAAGATGGCGGACTTAACGTTGAGAGAAGGATATTGGATAAAATTTTGTTAGAAGTTGATAGCAGCGATATCCCACGACAAGACTGCGAAACTGTAGTCCTTGCCGGAATATACAGCCTTCACATGGGTTGTTAGCACTTCGTGAGTTAAATATGTGTGCTCATGAACGATTTTAAATGTCGCATTGTAATAAAATGAACCAAACCTGATTTTAATACAATTTAAATTCAATAAGGACTCCCTTTCTGTATCTTTCCTCCCTCTCTCTCTCTCTCTTAGCCGCGATTGTGTTCTGCAGGTCATGGTTTATTATTGAGTATTAAAGTGCAGAAATATGCAAATAATATCCAACTTCGCTTACCTTGAAAATCGCCAGACTTTTTAAGAAAACATATTATTTTATCTTCTCCTCAGCTTTCGTTCCAAACATTTTCTCTCCGATTAATGTTTAGCGAGATTTAGCAGAAAAGCACATAGTTCTTCGTGTAAATATTTCATTAAGCATGTCCGATTTAAATTAAAATAGATATGACGATAATATTTTTCGCATGATTCTCCAGTATCAAATTTCATAAAATCTGGCCAGATGTGCTTGAGTTGAAACTTGGGGAGAGAGAGCCTGACAGACACCATCAGCTATATATACGTTTGTTTCTTGCACATCTTGCAAATAAAGTGTAGTAACAACTAATCACATTACTGCAGTTGTGCTCTGTGTGATCGTCGTCCTATTGTTTTCCGAGCTGATTCATGAGTTTCTTGCCCAGTGGTGTTAATTTTATTCGGTTTCGTAGGCTGTGAATTTGCTCCTCAGCCTCTGCATTAAGGCGGTCTCTCCCAGTTGCATGTGCTGAAGATGCGCAGTAACCATATCTCTCAGCACATGTGGATATTCATTCAGCCTGTAATATTTTTAAGGAAACTGCAGAGCTGAGAATTGTAAAGAAAATAATGCATAAAATTTCGTAACGAAGAAATTCGTGATTTCTATGAGTCACCTAATATCTACCTTAACTGCCGCATTAGCACGAATATAATGCGAGTTCTTTTTAAGTATACTACTTCTTAGGAAAGAGGGACCTTAAGAATAAATTTGAAGATTATTATGAGGAGTTCTAATTGCTAATTCCAATGATATTTGCGAAAATATCTAGAATTAAATTTTTTTTTTCTTGGCACTACAGCCTAGGCCTAGGCCTACCTCCATGAACTTCTCCGTTCACTTCGGTTTTTCTAGATCTTACACATTCGGTAGGACTCCTTGGGCGGGTGATCAGCTCGACGCAAGGCCTCTACCTGTAGACAAACACAGAAAAACGCACACACACAAACTAAACATCCATGCCCTGAGTGGGATTCGAACCCATGATCCCGGATTCCAAGCGAGCGAAGACAGTACATGCCTTAGACCGCTCGGCTACCGTGACAGGCTAGAATTACATATAAGGAATTAAATTTTGAATATATTATTTCTTAATAGTATAATTTTTACTTCTTTTTGCTTGCAACCCTCAGAACTAGATAGTAAAGGTAAAGTTGTCTCCGGCCTTAGCTAATTAAGCACTACGCCATGAAGACGTATGGAGAGTGGATGTATAGAACCACATTTTCTTGACCTCTGCATTAGTTGGAGGTGAGTGGTCAGCTTGACACCCCGGCCGCTTTACCACCATGGAAAGAAACTCCGGTAACCACTGGATAGGAAGCTGTGTGGGTCCCAGTGCCGGTCTGGACGACGTGGAGAAGTGAATATTCTTGACCCTACCAGAACTCGAACTCCGATCCCTCAGCCATCCAGCCCGTACCAAATCGCTATGCCGACTGCGCTATCCCGGCATCCCAGAACTAAATGACGTATTCAATTTGATTTGATTAGTGGTAGTAGGTGGTCGCCTTATATTCAGCTTATATTGTACTCGTAAGACCAGAGAGTAGAAAGAATTGCCTCAGGTTTGCGTTGGAACCGCCATTGGATGGTGCTGAATGCTGATTATGTTACTCTTGCAGTCGCAAATCCTGGAGCGTGTGAAACCTGACCGGGTGACGGCGAGCAAGCCTGAAGAAGACCGGCGGCGGCGCACCATTATCGTGGAGAAGAAGAATGGTTCCTTTGGATTTACATTGCAGGTAAATCGCAGTTACAAACATGATGGCGATCCCTTGTCGAGAGTTGTCTAGAGCTTTCTCACTTTCCCACATTTTGACAAGACAGCATACAACAATACAGCTTTCCTAGGGGTGAAGTGACCCCAGAACATGCTGTGGTCCATGTATCCATGAAAGCATGTTTAATGGAAACGCGTTTCTGCAATCGCATGGGCCTAAGAGAATCAAGTGTGTAAATGAAAGCAATTGTTCCTACTCTCTCATTGAAATCGTCAGTAATAAAAATAACCGCACAGGCCGGTATGTACGTGACGCTCTACAGTCCATTCGCGGAGACGAGAGAGTCCTCGTAAACAAACGCACGCGGTATCTCCTTCGCGCCTTGAATGAAATCATGCAGCGATCACGTGATGCGTGTACTGTTGCAGGGGCGTCCAAAGTTCACTCTTCAGTCTGAATGCAGGTTAACGTGCGTCCGAATGAAGTGAGTACACTGAAGTAACTGCGCGCTTTGTCCACTCCATGCTGTCAGCTGTGGCGACGCGGGGCTTGCTTTGTTTACGCTGTTTCGTCTCCGCGAATGGACTATAGTCTTGTATTCAGAGGTGCTCGTTTCGAATCTCGGCCGGATCACCGCGTAGCTGGAGGCTTTTTCGTGTTCTTCCTAAGTCTGCTCTGGCGTATTTTGGTGTAGTACATTAATTATACCGTGGTGTAGTTGGTTGAGGCGCTGTCCTAAAAGCCGGCAGGTGAAGGGTTCGAGTCCCGATGAGGTGGATTTTTTCTTTCAATTTACCTAATCCACCCAGCCGCAATATGGCCCTGGGGTCTACTCAGCCTCTAACAGAAATGAGTACCAGGAATGTACCTGGGAGGTAAAGGGCGGCCGGCGCATAAGACTGACAACCTTACCACCATCTGTGAGCCGCTTGTCTAGAGAAAATGTGGGAGCCTCGACGTCTCACAACCCTATCGGCCTTCACGTTACAAGGATAGCTTTACCTTTTACATGAATTATACCATGACCAATTCCTTCGAAATCCTTTACAGTTCTTGATCCATTCTAGAGTTATATAAGATCTTGGCACATTAGAGAGCTTATAGCTGTTCCAGCTCCAGGGATCAGAATCCCAACCACAGGGTTGTATAATCTGGCACGGTGTACAGACAAGTGATAGTCTGCTCACAAATATCTACAGCTGCTTAGAAATCGGTAACCACATTCTGATCATTCTGTTCATTCTGTTAAGTCTCAGGTTTATAATTTTAGTTTTCAGTAAAAAGTAGAATGCACCCTGAAAATGATTTGATGTCTACAGAATCTGTTAATGAGCCGTCTCTTTGTCAGAATGTCCAGACTTGTTATGAGGCCCACCCAGCCTCGTAGCCAATGTTTTTCTTCTTTCTGATGAGCTGAAACTGAGGCCACTTGGTACCTCCGCTACTGTTAGCCAGTGCTTGTTGAAGCATGAAGAGGGTGAATCTGTACAGAGCTGTACCTGCGTCCATGCGTTGTCATGGTGTGGTGCTTAAAAAGAGGGGACCGTTTGTCAGTTACCTCCACAGCTTCCCTTAGTTGTTTCTCTCAGTTGCGTTGCAGTAACATTGTGTTAGTAAGGTAATGAAAAGTCCTTCAATACAGGTAAATGTCACTGTTTTGATGACTGCTTTATCGCAGTACAGTTATCATAAAATTTATTGTTTTACTTAATTTATTCTAATTATTTTTTTTAATCTACAGTTGAATTCATTTGCAAGTTAATTTATATTTAATTCTGTGTGAAACTTCATACACAATCCTTCAGTTAGCCTTTGTTTTGAACATGAAAATATAATGAATTTGTTTCCTTGTAATGTTATTGTTGATTTCTTGCACATAAATTAAACGCTCATGGGCCAACTTAAGAGAAACTCTGGAATATAGAATATAGGTCAAGTTTCAAAAACTTCACAAAATCATGAACATGAATTTAAAATGGTTGAAGCATTTTACACTGAATGAAGTGAATTTCTTTTCAGAGTTATGGGATTCACTACAAGAAAGAACAAGAAATAGAGATGATAACATATGTTGATTACGTAGATTATGATGGAGCTGCATTTAGGGCTGGTATGCGTGAAGGTAATCATAATGAATCTATATTTATTTTTATTAAAAATTTTATCTTTTTTCTCAGTTAAGCACATGGATATTTCTATTTTCCTGTATTTTGTATTGATTGTTTCTTGGTATAGCTTGCCCCATAAAAACTAGGACAGAAGATAATACATGTTTTTTTTGCACAAAAAATGTTCAGTGATAAGCTGTTATATGTACTCTTCAGCTATCCTAATGTACTATATATTTATTTATTCCTGCAGATTTCATTAAGAAATCTACATGCTGTTTGTAAGTAAAATAATGATGTAGAATATATGACATAAATTAATGTGGTAATTTTGAAGCAAATCATTACACTCAGTATGTGTAGACAGACTGGGAAATTACCTCAATAGAAAATTTATGTTATTTGAAAAGTATGTTTATTCATATCTCTGTACTAAAGCATTTATTTACCGTGATATCCTTTAATTTCAACATATTCTTTTATAACATATGAAAGGCAGATATGCATAAAATATGTAAAACTTAACTTCTCTGTTTTAAGGTGATGTTATTCTGTCAATTAATGGCCATGACATGGAGAAAGCTGACCACAAAACACTTGTCAACTTTATAAAAAACTGTGATTCTCGAATGCGCATGGTGGTTCTGTTTGAAGACTGTGTTAGAAAGGTAATTCCCATAATATTACATGTCATGATAAATAACAAAATTTCTCTCCATTTTTGAGTTCAGAAAACACTTACCTACCTACATACCTACCTACCTACCTACCTACCTACCTACCTACCTACCCACCCGCCTACCTCCCTACAAACCACCTGGCGCTAGAGCCCTGGGTGAGACTTGGCCTCTTCTACAGCCGGTCTCCACAACCAATGCGTGCTGCCGTAGGAATGGACCCACGCATGATGACCCGAGGTTGGTTGTTAGTTTTCTGAACAAAATTCTTTTTACAGGATGAGGTTGTTAATCTCATGTCCAACCCCCAACCTGGAGGACCAGGCTATCTCTCTTAATCTGGACTCTACCCTTTGACCTTTCCAGCATGGGTGATCCTACCAGTAGTTACTACAGCCAGCATAGCTCTGCAGGTCACAGAGTCATGCAAGCCCCACTGCTGCAACAAGGTGGAGACAACTTGGGGGGGAGGGGAGTTCAGAAAATAGCATTTTAAAATTTAGAGCTTGTACATCTTCTTGACTATCCCATTCCAGACTTCTAAAGCAGCCAAATTTCTTTGGTGTTATCAGATGAACAGTTCCAGTATAGTATACAGCAGTGAGGCTCCGTTTGTGGCTCAAAGGACACTAAAATATAATACATAGTAGTTGACACATGTATTACCATGGTGTATAAACATGTCTTTTCCAGTGTAACACTTAATGCCTTTATGTGGTATTAAGATTAAAGATATATCATATCTCAATAAATTTATGCATGAGGGTATTTGAAATTCTTTACAATTTCAGACAGATCTTGCTATGAAGGATCTGGGATTTTTAACATAATTACACTTCCACATTTGTTATGGTCGCAGAACCCATACATGTCCCCTTCCTTACCACCTGAGCAGTCATACCATTTATCACCATAAAAATTACAATGTGAAATAACATTTTCTGAATGGCCTGAATTTAGGTGTGTTAAGTGTACCTGGCTTGGCCCCCCGCCATTGTTTATGGTCACAATCTGTAACTTTTCCTTTGGCACAAAAATGCCTAGTCCTGTTTTGGTACTAAGAATATTTTTATCAAATAATGATAACTTCTTAAAGTATTTGGCAACAGACTTCAGTCACGGTGTTCATCTTTACTTCAAGACGTCTGACAATGTTACGAGTATAATGCATGTTCAGCTTTGCTGCTTTACACTACTCATGAAACCAGATAACTTAATAAATCCTCTGGAAAATAAACTTTTATTTCATCACTGTGGAACAGTAAATTCAATATTGTTATAGAAAGGACTTTTCCATTTTCTAATTATGAGTGCTTGGTATGAATGTACTCATCTACATTCCATGCTTATCAAGTCCATTTTGAAGGATCCATTCTCTTACCTCACTTCTCTCTCACTTGTAATGTTGTGCTTGACCTGCATGAAGATAGACTCGCCGTGCCAGACACAAATCAGTATTCAGAACTCCGTTCTCATGATGGTATAGAGGAACCTTAACTAACTTCTGAAGATTTCTCACAAGATATTCAAAGTAGACTTGTATCACTTTCATCTATTTCCTTCATTTGGAGCAAACAAGTTTCCTCCACTGTATAAAACCACAAGATTATCTTCATGCGCATTGTGTGAATTATCATATAGTCCTCGTGTCATAATTGTTAGTGACGTGACTTTTCTTAAATTACACAAAGTTAGTTACCTCCGTTTTAATGTGTTTTGACATGCATCGAAAAGGAATAGCACGGTCACCGGGCCTTACTTAGGTGATTTCAAGGTTTATATATATATATATATATACATATTGCCTTCCAAGTAATGCTGGGAGAGTGGCTTAAAGTAGGCCACAGTTCTTTCTACATTTCCTTCATGAATAACAGTTGATAGCCATTGTAATATTCATATATAACTTTATTAGAGCAAGAAATGAAGCATGTGAAATATAAGTAAACTCTTATTCGCTCACAAAAGGCCCGAAGGTCCAATAGTGTTAACATAAAACCTGACCACCACTGTACATTTTACTGAATCATTTCAGTTCTCTCCACATCACTAGAACTTGCTTTCCATACTATTTACTTTAATTTTATTCTCCTAGCTTCAGTTTTCTTCTCGAAGTTGCTGCTGTGTATGAGACTTTCTTGTCACAATTCTATATTCATTTCATACTTCCTCTCTGAGTTATTATGTCCAGTCCTTTTAATTTAACTGCCCTCAAAATATTATAGAAGTGTCATAGTGGCATTCTTTCTCTTCTCTTACATGCAATTCTTTTTCAACATTTTATTTTCAACTGACCAGCAATTTATGGATAAGAGATTATGTTCTACAGTGCAACAGTCACCTTGAAACCCAGAGCCATGAACCGTCAACAAAGTTAAAAAAAACTCTCTTTATATCAATGTATGTTGTAGGTATCATTGTATCCTCTCCATAATGGGATACTGATAAGCATTGAAACATTCCTCTTGGAACATCGCCACACATATTTCAGTCTGTGTCATAACACTTTTCATGTTATATATGTTGCCACTTGTATCAATAATTGGGGTCCTAAAATCTGAAATTCATTTCCATTACTGTGCCTCATTTGAAGATCCAATAGAACTAAGGACCCAACATAACTCAGCTTCACCAAATGCACAACCTTATGTAAAGTAATCCTTTTTGAACCATAACAATCATAGTTGGTATAGCGACTAGCTGCAGGCTAGATGATCAAGAGGTCAGAGTTCCGAGTCCCAGTAAGGTCAAGAATTTTCTGTTCTCCACGTCATCCAGACCGGCTCAGGGGTTCACTCAACCTCCTATCCAGTGGGTACTGGGAGCGCTTTCCTCAGGGGTAAAGCGGTCAGGGTGTGAAGCTGACCACTCACCTCCAGCAAGTGCCGAGGTCAAGAAAATGTGGATCTATACACCTACTCCCCCATACGTCTTCATGGTTTAGTGCTTCATTAGTTAAGCACAGGGACAATTTTACCTTACCTTACACATAGTGCTTTTAAATAAATAATGTCTGGATGCAAGGTCTTCCACTGGTGTGGACTGTGTAGGCCATTTTTAGTGGGTTCCAGTGTAAAAATAAGAGGTCATTAACCAATGTGGGTGGAACTTTTAAAATATTGTAAGGTAGAACAGTCAGACAGTGACCTAAAAACCTTCTCTTCTTTTATCTGGTGCCTATGTAAAGATGAAAACTGTAATGATATAATATATAAAAGAGATGTATGTGAAATGAAAGTCTAATTTATATTAGACTTTATATAGTAACCAGTTTCCCCAAGTCTGAAGCTTAAATTTTTCTGTTACCCCTACCCCTAAATCCAAATTGTTTTTTGTCCATAAGTTATTTACAATTTATTACCAACCCAAGATTATAATACACAGGTGCCAAATGGAAGTCCAGCTGAATCCCTATAATATAAGAGTGCCATAAAAATATCACTATGTTATTCAGGGGAAATTATACTCTAATCACGAATTATTTAAGGCCAAAAGCATTCAGAGTAATATTTAATAGTTATCAATCACCCTTAGAAAGATGTAATACCATTCTTTAGTTGGGAGGAGGGGTGGATATATGCCTACAATGAAAAAATTGTAAAAGTGATCATAATGATCAGCTGTTTGTAATCAGATCATTTTTTATTGTAATATGAAAACCCTTGACCTTAGGTGGAACTCCACATGCGTTACATACAGCTGCAGCACGTCCTCCAGGGCAAGATGGCTGAATTGGAACGTTTATGCTTGCGAGAACGGGAATTGCTGCAAGGAAAATGGAAAACTCACAGTCTTCCAGCTCGCAAGAAATCCACTGCCTCTACTTCTACAGATGCAACGACCCCAACTCAAGCAGAAGGAAATGATTACAGTTACTGCAGACCAACTGTATCCACTGAAGATGTTGCAAGGGTAAATAGAATTAAATCACATTTGTATTAATTGAAGTGCCTCATATTATGATTTCTACTAACTGTAGCATCTATGGATATTTTTTACTCTTCTCTTTATACTAAATATTGCTCATACTGGCAGGCTTAATGTTGACTGTGATTGATTATATTATCCCAAGAGCAACCACCAGGTCAAACTTGTTACCATGTAACTTCATTAGACAAGTTCCTGGATGAAATCTGTACATAAATTGTGTTTCCTTCAATCTGTGCAGGTTTACACATGTAATCCTCACCATTTCAAAATTGCATTACAGCACTTCAAATGTCATTCATCTTCTCACAGAATTCATGTGCTCTTTATTTAGTTTGTTTTCAGAAATGATGCTTTATATGTACTTTTGTAAATTCCTTGTAATGCTAAACAAGGGTACAGCTAGATAATGGCAAAAATTAGCGTCCATTTGTCTATATATCCATCTAAATTGCAACACTTGTTTTACACCTCAATATATTCTTTAACACTTAACACTACATGTTTCGGCCTCAAAGGGCCATCTTCAGGTGTTTTATTACAGATATTCAATCAAGACCTTGTTAAAACTGCTACACTGTTTTGCTCTTCCAATTGATTTTAAAAACCATACGCTACAGTCCTCCTTTAATCAGAACAAGATAAAATTATTTTATAATTTGTTGTTTCACTTCACTCAGGGTGTCGACACGTTCATAAAATAGTGTGACATGTTGACCCCTACCTCCCCAGCTGCACGTAGCGGTAACGTAGCGCTCGCGTAATAGGCGAGTAATCACCCCGCATCCTGGTAGCTATGCAACGCGCAACGCGCGGTGACGTCACGAGCGGAGCCGACGTTAGCCGAGTCCCCGC